ATTGGTAGAAAGGAACAAAAAACTTAAAAGAAAACAAAAAATGTTAACAAAAACAGTTATATAATTTTTGCATTAATTTGTTGCCAATCAGTCAACATTACATAATATAAAGGACCATGTTTTTACAGAATGTTTTCAATAATTTGTTAAGCTTTGAGGAAAACCATTGTTGAATTCAGTTCACCATATCGATACCTACCTATCCTTTCGGCTGGTTACAATTTTCGAACACAGTGGCGTGACCTTACACGACCTTTTAATGTAATGCTGACAGCTTAATGTTCAATGAGGTAGATAAGTTTAATATGGGAGCTATAGGCACTTCCACATCAACCAAACTAGCTTGACTTGACTTGGCGCCTAGCAATCAAAAATCAAAATAAGCTTACTAAACGCTCTAAATTAGCGTTGCTAACTTATCATAGTGACAGGACCATCATTCCGACCTGAGATGGTGTTTGGACAAGATAATTAATAACCAGGAAGTCTAATCTTTTATATTCCGTCTTGCCGCACTATTGCAGTTACACACTGGACGTACATAACCGTTCAGTACCCGTTTCATATGATACACATTCCATATATTTTAAGATGAGTGCTTCTAGACCATTATAGAATATTATCTGTTAATGAACCATGTAAACCAATGACAAAAATCAATTAAATACACACACATGTAGGAGAGTACTCTGAATTAATTTATCAACTTTTCTAGATGAAACCAAATTATTTGGAATGTGTAACGTCAGAACGAGGCAAGAGCAATTTAAAGTAACCGGTGCTAAATTTGTACAAATAAACAGGTAAAAACATCATTTAACGTGTCTAAATTGGTTAACCATAATGCTATTTATATGCATAATTGCACAAAGATGACTAACACCCCATGTAACAGTAAATCGTTTTATTAATTACTTAGATTTTCCAGTTGCAAGTGATGACCTACATTTGAAAACAATGGCATCTGCAGTGGCAGGCATGATCTTTAGATGGCGCTGCTGAGTTATCATTGTATTATCATATTCTGCTTCCAGGAATATTTCTGCAAGACCTAGACATACAGGCTAACAACTGAACATTATAGATCCAGTAGACATATCAGCCATATTGAACAATGGGGTCCAACAGTGTACTGACAACCCTTATACAAGATGCAATACTGAAACTCTGCACACAAAATGTACTTTTTGACGCTTCCCTTGAGATAGATGGCATAATATGTATCAGTCCTGGCCAGGAGTCCAAGGAAATAGTTGTAAAAATGCATAGAACAATTATGAAACCGACTCCAGAGCCTGAAGTATTCCAGCCAGAACCCAGTCCAAAGAGCACTCCTCATCGGAGAAATCGCAATCAACAGGCTCATTCCAGTAACATTGAGAGTGATACATTCCCAGCCCAAACATCTAATATATCATTTGATGAAATGCCAAAGCATGACACGTATCAGGATGAATCTGGAGGTGCCACTGCCTACTTTCCCGATGAACAACAGCAATATGGTAACTTAAGCAATTGTTCTTTATTTTATTAGAATATTGCTTTATGGTCAGTCAAGTTAATATTATACCACACTATGCCCTCTAGGTGTCTAGGTTTGTTATATCATATAGAATATAGAAATTGAAAATATCCCTGTTTGGTGTGTTGCTTAAAAAAATTCATTTTACTGCCTTATTGGAAACCTTAACTTGTTAATTTTTGCTTTGTTCCTAGTGCAGAGAACTGAGATAATCAATTGTTTTAGTGGTCAATTTTGCCCTAATAAAAATACATCTTGAGGAGCAAATTTTAAACAAGTATTATTGCATACATTCAAATATAAGCAGATACAAGCAGATGAAATGTACAATATTGACAGTTACTTACCTTCAAAGAATTAATAAGATTAAAACATAATGATTGCTAAATTTCAGATACAACACCAAGTAAACAGTCCAG